AGTGTTGTGTTAAAGTTGCTGAATAAAGGAATGACATAATTACAAAAAGAGCTCGTGCTATGCTTGAATGATTGTAGACTGGTGTTTAAGAGGTATCAACGTACAATTCGGGGATTTAATAATGTGGTTGCTTTAAAGCTGTTTATATTTTTGTTTATAATGTACTTTGGAGAGAATTTTCTGCTGGAGTTTCGCTTAAAAAAATTTGGTTTTACGTTTGATGTATTGTATTAGGTTGATGATTTAATTTTAGTCTAAAATTGGTTGTAATTTTCGTGATGAAGCTTGTCATTCTGGTTTCTTCGTTTAGGAGATGAATTTGTTCATCTTAATTGTGTGCCTTAACTGAATTTATGATAGCCATGAATAGCTTTTTTAATAAAGGAGGACTTGGTTTTATTATGTGTGATACGGATAAAGTTTTCAGTTTGCATTACCGAAATGGATCCGACAGTGGTTTCTATTAGTATACTCGCTCCTTTTTTTTTCTTGTGGGAGAGAATGGGGGGGGGGGGGGTGGGAGGGAAGGGAAGGATGAAACTCATTTAAGTGCTGGGTTAGAATTTGGTAAGTTTAGGGCTTTCTTCTCTTTCATCTAATGTGATGCTCATTTTGTGAATGTATGTATTCTCTTTCATTTAATGTGATGCTTGTTTTGGTGAATGTTTGAAGATGAACCAGGAAAACAAGTTAAGAGTGCAGTGAGGATTAAGAACACTAGCAAATCTCATGCTGCTTTCAAGGTATTACTTCGTTTCAGTTTCCATAGACCATGGCGGTTACAATTCTATGTAGTTGCAATTTCTTATTGGTTTTTTAGGCAAGTATTACGTTGATTGAACACCTCAACACCCTTTTTGTTGGTAATTTTTACTCTAACTATTTTAACTTCCACTAAAATGGTTTTTTGCATTGTCACTCTGTCTCAGTTTCAAACAACCGCACCAAAAAGTTGCTACATGCGCCCACCTGGTGGTATTCTTGCCCCTGGAGAAAGTATTATAGCAACTGGTAATATTGCTATGGTCTTTTCCTAATATTCATTGACAACATTTTTTTTTCCATGGCGTCTTTTCTTACTTTGTGGCTCTTTTTTTATGGGGCTTTTCTACGTAATAATTTCGTGTTTGTATTAAATTCGAAATTTTGCCCTTGCTTTTAGACTATTCTAGACTATACCACTATGGTTTTATTTGCATAAGCATTATCCTTGAGGTCAACTCTCCATTGACAAGTTCCGTTAGTGACTGATTCGAAGTTTTTTATACATAAGTAAGCTTATCTACTTACCTTTCCAGGATTCTTTTGAGGTGATGGGAAATTCTTACCTTGTACTCATATTAATTACCCTTGCAGTCCTTCTATGGAAGGAAATTTTCCATCACCTCACAGCAGACAAATTAAAGTGGTCATATAAGCTTATTAATATGCATATTGCTTTTAATCTTTCACTAGAAATACTATTTATTTCAAAGTTGGCAGCAAGGATAAGCTTACGTAGTTGTTAAACCATAAGGGTATTGTATAAAATTGTCTGAAAGCGAGGTTATGATATTTAATTTCACATAACATTGGGACAGTGCATATAAGAAAAACCCTAATTTTTTTGTTTTGAATTTGGCAGTCTTTAAGTTCATGGAGCAACCAGAGAATAACGAGAAAATGCAAGACCTCAAGAAGAAGGTTAAATTTAAGATTATGAGTTTAAAGGTGAAAGAAGAAACAGAATATGCACCTGAGCTGGTAAGGATATTGCTGTTCCATTAGCGGTTGAACTTTTACCTGGCCTTTAAATTGCTTCTATTATTGCTTGAATTCTACTCTCCTGATTAGTTGAGTACTTATAGACTAGTTGTACTGGCTATAGCTTATGGCTTTATAACACATTCTAAAGCCTCTCACCTTGTGGAGTAGAAGTTCTTAATTGGACTTTTTTTTTATTTCGTCAGCAAATAAGAGGCATCAATCAAGCTAAAGTTACAAATTTGGGATTTCTGAAGCTTAATTCCAATTGACATTATCCATTTAGGGTAGATACCTGACTGATTTGAGTTAGAATGCTAACTATAACTCTATAAGGGACAAGTGTTGTAGACTTTTGATGTAGGTATGTAGAACAGATATTTAACGGATCTGAGTTAGGAACTTAGGATGCCATATATAATCTATATTGGTGGGAGGTTTGAAATGGTTGCCGCAGTGCAATGTTGCTTATTGGGTCCAGCAACTCATATTATGGAGTGGTTCATGTTCTACAGTATTGCCGTAAGTAGTTCCCTTCAGGAAATGGATGTCTGAATTCATTAGTTGCCGCAAGTTGTTCATACCTTGGAACTTCAGTGACTATGATTATCATGTGCCATTGTTATTATTTTTTTAGTGTCAATATGACTTCTTTAGTACCACAGCCTATATGGGAGGTTTCCCCTGGGGGTGTTGGGGTGGGGGGGGGGTGTCGGGTCTATGAGCTCATTTGCATCAGATGCTATGGCCCTCCCAGGCTCCCATTCTCCCAAGGTTGGACAAGAATATCCTGCCACAAATTCCCCCCTGTATGATAACCCAGTCGATCAAATCTTGTGGAGATCTTTGACTAGTATTAGTTTAGTGTTATTTCCTTATCGGGGATATTATAATCTATTGAAGAAATCTTTAGCTTTTACAATTCGCTGTTGTTGACTGTGAACTGCAATGAGTGGTAGGAAGTAGTTTACGATTATCGTCAAATTTATCAAGGAAATCAATGTATAATGAATTTTTTTTTTTTCTTGTCAAAAAAAAAAAGAAAAAAAAAAAAAAAGAAATGTGTTTTTTGCCAAAACAGTGGATACTTATAAGTAGCAACTGTATACCTTATACTTGCATCTCTTCTATAAACAAGTTATTCTGGATGGGGTTTCAGTTCTGTGACTTTTGTGATGTACTGAATATTGTTTAAGAATTACTTTACAACCCTTCCCTCTTCCCTCTTCCCTCTTCCTTCTTCCAGAAACCAAAAAGCATGCATGCATCTTGTATGGAAGAGTGTGTCTGTCTGTGTGTGTGTTTAGCAGCTATATATATGTTACATAGTGTTCTTGATTTTACTTTTTTCATTCATATGGATCCTTGGTTATTAGAATATAAGCAAGATCTGTGCTGAATTTTTGAAAATTAGTCTATTACTTTAATACACATGTACATCAAGCCCTATACACTTGATATATACACATGGAGTAGAGTCCATGTAACATACTTGCAGAGGAAGTAAAAAGTAGTTCTCTTCTCTTTTTTTCCCTTCATTTATATTGTTTGCATAAGAAGATATGGTAGTGTAGATAAATGTGAATTTTAGAATGTTATTGGAATATCTGCAATTGATCTTCTTAATACTAGTATTAGATAAATGTGAGAACCGAAGTCAATTTCAGAATCATTTTCCCAACTCCTCACCACTTCTCCATTCCTGCAGTTTGAAGAACAAAGGGAGCAGGCTACCGTAGAACGGGTATTACGCACTATTTTCTTGGATCCTGATCGTCCTAACTCAGTGAGTTTCCATTTTCATTTCCCTCACTTCTTATGATCCTTGCATAAATATTCAAGAGTTTTTTTTTTTTTGGAATGAATCTCATGCTCATGCTCATGCTAGGCACTTGATAAGCTGAAACGCCAATTGGCTGAAGCTGATGCTGCTGTTGAAACACGGAAGAAACCTCCAACAGATAATGGTCCAAAGGTGGTTGGTGAAGGTCTTGTCATAGATGAATGGGTGCGTTCATGTCTCCTCAAATTTGTTTGATGCTCCCTTCCCCACTACTCACACACACACACACACACACACACAAATCCATACAAAGAATGAAATATTTGTTATATTCTTATCTTTTCTATGTTTTCTAACAAGGATTATTGTTGCTTTATTATTTTGAACTCCAGAAAGAGCGCAGAGAGAAATATCTAGCTCAGCAGCAGGGTGACGCAGTGAATCTATCAGTGTGAAGTATGTAGTTTTGTTGGTAAAGTGTCATCTTTTAGTATGACAGTGTTTTGCAATCCAATACTTGTGGATAGTGGTATGGCTTTTACGACATATGCAAAGCATCATTGTGTAAAGTCAATAATAATATGGCTGCTTCGTTTCCTTTTTTCAGTTGAAAGCATCACTTGCGATGGTTATCAGGGCACCTATTCTTCTCATTGTAGATATTGAATTTTGCTTTATGAAATATAATTGCTATATTGTGGTGGGGGCTTCATTGTAGATATCAAACTTTATCCATTCTCATTACCTTATGGCCTTGTGGGAATCTCAGTTTCTAGTTCAGATGAAGTTTCTTTTCTCAGGTTGGTCCTTCGCAGCCTCATAGTTCCCAGCTAATAGTTGGTAGCTATTAGAGTCGTTTGAGTAGACAGTCAGAGAGGCGATGTAACGTACAAGGTGGGGTGATTTGGGTTTTGGAACATTTGATTTGGACAAGCTCACGGCACGGCTTTGTATAAAAACATGGTATTGAACTGAACAGATGATATCCATTTGTTTAATTGAAAAAACTTTATGATACGGCCGACTGAATGACAAAATAACAAGCACTAGAACAAAATGGAAACTATGCCAGAATATGATATGGTCAATATGGAATATCTGCTCAGCCACGGCCTAGCTATCATCATCCTTCCGTCGACTGGCCTAATTGGCTCGTAGCATCGCCATCTCCTCTGACTATATTCATTTGAAAGGATGAGTTATGATCATTGCAGTATTCCATCCTAATATTAATAAACCAATATAAAGTTGTAAGTCTCAAAACTCTTAAGAGCCAGAATTCATGGTATTTTCTATACATATTTTTGCAAGGTAAAAAATACCATATATTCTGGTTCTTAATAATACGGAGTACTCCGTAAATGCTCTGGTTCTGCTCTTAGTTTATTTTAATAAGCAATGCTTCAGCCTTTAGCATAGCACGAGCACCATCAACATCAAACCGTCTGCTACTAGTTATTAGAAGCTTGCAAGATAAACAAAAATTAATACTCAAATCATGTATTTGAACTAAACATAACATCATAATCAAATGACAATCCTCTCTTCCAGACTCTAGATCAAATCAAAGATACAAAACCAACCGAAACGATACAAAAATATATCTAACCCAAATGAAACTCTGTACAAAGCCAGGTAGTGTGGCTTAGGATCATCATGTTTCATATCCTTTAAAAAAAACCATTTCGCATGCACATTATCAGTGAATTTGTTCCATTTCTTTATAAGTAAAAAAATGCCCTTAAACTTCTCCGAAATCACAGATCTTGTGGAATGTCGAATTTCTGAGAGCCAAAGATATGATGGGAGCTGTTCTGTTGCACAAAGAGAGCCATACCACACTTGTGGCTGATGAATGGCTCCCATAGAGCGAAGTTAATAGTCCCAGTGATGTTCTTCTTGGCTGAGGTGTCTTTGAGGGAGCATAGCTTCTCGAGCCTCCTAACGACAAAATCATTGGAGAGAACCATGCCTTTATTCTCCCCCTTTGGACAGTCAGTTATCAACCCATTCTCGTACAATGCCACCATAATGTTAGCTCCCTGATTGTCTATCTTCATCCGAATCTGTCCTGTGAATGCAACTTCCAAGGTTTCAGGTGTTGGTCTTTTGATGGTTGCCTGCTCCACAGAACAATATTTACACTTTAGCTAAGCATATATGCACAACATCAAGTAACGTATCATTTATTCAATGAAGACTGTTGTTAGTTCATAGCTTCAGCTAGCATACTTCAATCTGATATTATCATGCTTATTAGATTACACACTTGCGCAAATTTCGTAATATCATAAGACACTCAGACACATTGGTCAGAAGAAGCATAAAAACACAGGCGAGATCTATCAATTCCAAACATAAAGATGACGGTTTATACACGAAGGACCTAATCGACCATGACACAATTGATAATCAGGCTCACAATACACATTACTTTCAGAAAGGTGGTGAAATGAACATTATAGGTTAGTTTGTCAAATGTACTTGTTAGGTAGAACTAACAGACCCATCTCAACTAAGAACTTATATTCAAACGCTTTGAAAACATTACGGAGTACTTGTTATGGACTCCATACCAAGGTAATTAACCCTCTTGCGGAGTTGCATGTACCAGTATGATCTAATGATTTCGATTTTGGTTATCTTAGTGATGACTGATGACGATGCTCATCTCAATTTTCATGTTCATGTATGATGTTTGTCTCTTGTATTCTCTCAAGGTCGTATGTAACGCTCGGGTCAAATTTTTTTTAAAAAAAAAAAAAAAAAAAAAAAAAAAAAAAACATATTTTGCTAGGCGCACACTTGCTTAGTTACATGTAAAATTGTAAACCTCTACGAAGTATAAAGTATGCAATTATGCAATATTAAAAAAGTGTATAATTAGCTAGATCAACTAATATTCGTGCATGCAACATAAACTTAAGTGGCTCATATTCATATTTTTTTTTAAAGAAAGAATCTAATTGCATAAAGTTGACATTGCCTTTACACATGACATGCACATCATAAACAAGAGAATGTCCTCTAAAATAGAATCTCCTAATTAATTACTCCTAATTTATGTTGAAAGTAATTAATTTAATTTGTTTGTTTCTACGTTCAAGGACAATTCAACCAACCTAGCTGTCTATCACACATCTCCCTATCTTTAATCAATGGTTTATGTAAACTAACTAAGCTCACAATTTGACATACGGAGTATCTATTATTAAACTCACCAACATCAAAACATAAACCAAACAATAAAAGGCATGTATGAATCCACATTCTACTCAAAAATATGAATAACTAATCATGACCCAATATGGAGAAATAAATATGGACAAATAAATAAAAAAACAAGTTATTGTTCACTTGAATGTTATGTCAAATGTCAATACATAAAAAGGGGTAACTTTTACGTGATTCAATCAAGTCCTTCATCGAAAGGCAAGAAATAATACCAAATTATAGAAAAAAAAAATCAAAACAACAACTAACCTGAAAATTAGGGGAAGGAAATCTAGGAGCATTAGCAATATTAGAGAGAAGTTTATTCTCTTCATTACCAACACATTGGGACCCACCTTGTACCACAATTTGAGGGGTAAACATGGTATCAAGTTGTAATGACTCAACATAGGCCTTTTGTCTAACAGTCCATTGACTTGACCCATATGGATCTTTCCAGCCCATATAATCCCAATAATCCACATGAAAGCTCAATACAATTATGGGCTGGCCCAAATTAAAATCTCCTCGGCCCAATCTTGATAATAGAAGCTCAGCTTCAGGAGATACCTTACATCCTTGTGATAAAAATAGCTCCACCAATACAGGGCCGTCTCCACCTCTTCTTTGCTCCTCCGCGGCCTCGTCCGCGGTTGCTGCGACGTCGTTTTTACCGCCTTTCGACGCGCGCCCTGATTTTCCAAAGCAGGAGATTAGCCGAGGAGCCATCACGATTCAAAACGACCTCGTTTTGGCTCGTGAAAGAGAGGAGAGCAAGATTGTAAAAAGATGATCAGAATCAATGGAATTTTTTTTTTTTTTTTTTGAAATAAAATGAAAAATGGGAATGTAAGAAATGATAATATTTTAAAAAATTCTTGGGTTTTCTTAGAAAGTGGGTTTTTGATTCTGTGAATAGTGGGTGGAGGATGAATTGTGAGGAGCAGAGAGAAATGAGGGGTTAAGGATGGAATATGAGAATAAAGGTCTTCCAATATTTAAAAAAAGATATATATTAAAGATATATTTATAAGTATATATCTTTTGGAGCCGCATACATTAAAGGAAGGCGAAAGGATTAATAATATAGACGTGATTTGATCTCAAATATCGAGTAATACGATAGGAAACGGAGGTGCAACCGTACAATTGATAAAGTATAGATGCTCTGTTTTGGGGATTCTTGTTTTTCTATATGTAATTTGTCTGAGCTTGATTAAAAAAAAAAGAAAAGGTATACATTAATTAATTAAATAAATAAAATGAAGTTGGGTAAGAGATTTGTTGGCGACATGACAGAGTCGGTGACACGTTCCAAGCTGTGGAAGGTGCAACAACACCATCGAAGTTGCGTTTTTTTCTTCGTTTTTCAACTTTCTTATTATAGAAGACGGTAAGATTGGAATATTTTCAATTTATGGATTTAATTATTGGTTAAGTATTTTTTTGTGTATAATTGTTCAGCAAAGTCAGGATGGCCGAGTGGTCTAAGGCGCCAGACTCAAGTTCTGGTCTTCGAAAGAGGGCGTGGGTTCAAATCCCACTTCTGACATTTTTTCATATTTTTTTTACCAAATTGTTTCTATCATTTTTTTTTCAATTTTTTCCCAAAAACATTTGTAGACATTATATTTAATTAATTTAGACCTTTTTTTTTTTAAGGAATTTCTCACTATCTTGGAATTTATTTACTGCAATTCACCTAACATTGGTCATTTTGTTAATTAACAATTTGGTTGAACATAATCATCAAAACTTAATTTTTTGTCCAAAATAAATAAATAAATAAAATAAAAAATCAATGTTTAAATCATCTCAATGGAAACCCGATCTCTTACTCCACATCATTGGCGTTTTGTAGAGAATTAAAATCAGTCCAAATTCAAGGCCTAAAAGTCCAAAAGTGATGAGTTAATTAGGGTTGTCCATTACACACACCTACGTACCCTCTTCACATAATTACACACTCACACAACACACGTAAATATGTTAGAGTGCGAATGTATAATATATTGAAAAGTGCAATAATATATCCATTGATAAGCCATAGATGAATTAGAAAATGACCTATCCTATTAAAATCAGGACCTTTACAAAAATAAAAATAAAAACAAACGTTCTTGAAAAATGAAAATCGTAGAAACTTCATTATGTAAATTGGCAACCACAAGAAAGCAACACTCAAATCCAAAGAACAATAATAATAATCCAGCTCTCATTCATTTTCATTACAAATTGAAAGACAAACCTAATCTCCTACTCTTTTGTGAATGTAAAGGGACTTTTGAATCATTCCCTGCCATAGAATCTGAACATTCGACTAACTATGTTTTTAGTGGCGTCCTCCTAGCTAATAAGGAGAACATACTTTACTCGTTCATTCTTTAGTTATTGTAACAATAAAATATACACATATTTCAATATATAATTTTAATTTATTTATATTCATCAATTATCCGTGGGTAATAAATTGTAAATATTACAAAATATATGATACTTTAAACGTATATATCGAGACTAATCTAACAAAAATACACGTATGCAATAACACAAAAAGTGCATGGCTAAAAATCCATTTCAAATATGCCTAAGAAACAAAAAAAATGGTATAATTTATAATTTTCTATTGAGTGACGAGTAATTTCATGCAAAGGCATGAATGAACCTTGACATATAATTAGTGTAAATGAGTAAGGTCATTTGTCTGATTGTTAACCTAATGTCCCTCTCTTCATGCTAACATTTTATCTTATTCTTCATTTGGTCACACATGCATTTCTATATAGTTTAATTTTAAGTTGACTATTGGTTACATATTATAGCAGTTACCTACGTAATTTATACTTTATCTATATACAAACACGTCAATTAGAAAATTGTCGTCATAACCAATACCAGGAAAATACCGGATGCAATCATATTGAACAACTCCATGATCGAAATAGACCATATATGCCAAGTCAAAGAAATAAACCTAAAGATTAGAGGTGGCAAATGTGTCCTATCATATCTACGATTTAGTTAGAGGTAAATGTGGTGTCGCTATGAGTCGACAATGAGTTAGTCATAGGGTTCAGCTTCGGATCATATTTGATTCTATTATCAATTAGTTTATTACGGAGTATCATATAAACATATAGAACATTTACAAGATTGATGAGATTTTGGAGAAGTTAATATGGATTTGAGTGGCATTATAATCAATTGGCCAATTGGTTTGGTCACACAATGAGTTATTATGACAATGTGGTTCAAGTTCGGGTCATATTGGATTTTTTTGTCAATTTACTTATTGTAGTACGTAGTATATAGAATCCTGACATTAATGAGATTTTGGACAACTTAATTATTACAATTTGAATCGAAATCAAATAATTGAATTGTTGATACATTCCAGATTCAGGTTGAGGAATTCACATCATAACTAATTTTTCTTAATTCTTAATAGAGTTTTCTACGTTAAATTAATTTAACTTGCATAACATATATATATATATATATATATATATATATATATATATATATATATATATATATATATATATATATATATATATTAGACTCGGACAAGAATAAATACCCGTGTCAACAAATTATAGGTCACCAAACCACCAAAGTGAACAAACAATAATGTATTAATGTTTGATCATCAAAACACAAGCAATTCACCAATTAAAGTGGGATGTATACAATTGACATGCAGGAATTTGATATGGTGTACGTATGGAGGTGGGTGGCAATGCATAGTAGGGACAGATTTTGGTGCTACTGCTACTGCTAAAGCTTGAAACTTCTTCAATCTTTTCTCCTCTACTCATTTCTTTCTATATGTAATTATGTCAATGTTTGTATATTTTTGTGATTCATGTAGAGAATTTCGATTTTTGTGATTCATGTAGAGAATTTCGAATTGTTTGTAATAATTGTAAATCATTTAATTTGTTGTATATTTGTTACAATTTCGAAAAACAAATTGTTTAATTTGTCATTTGTTTAGTTGCATTAGTGTCAAGGACTTTATCACAGTGATTTTGCTTAACGCATCTATATCTACTTGGTGTTTAAGATAGAGCTAATCACTTTAGCCCGAATTGATTGTGGTCCAAATTAAACCTCGATTTGCCCTTGACTCTCGTACCTAAAACGATCCAATACTTGATCTAAAGTTCAGCCCATAATTAGCTGAATTTTAAGAGCATGTCCTATTATAAAATTGTTTTATCTTTATTTTTTATCATTTTTTTCCGAAAAAAGTCCTAAAGGACACTATTTCCTTATAAAATTGTTTTATCTTATGATTACTACGAAAAGTTATAAAGTTGAAGCAAAAGTCACATACATTATCAGAAAGTAGTTTCTAAACATCAATGTATGGGCTTCATTTTTGAAACTATCTGTTTTGGACAACTCTTAGAAAGGGAATTTCTAGGAATTTGTCAAGGTTTTGAGGGGTACTAATAATCAAATTTGCTAAAAGAAAAAAAACACAATATCTAAATGAGTGGGTCAAGAGCAATAAAATAATAGAACTATAATAATAATTATAAATCAAAGAACATAGATCGAAATAAGGGAGGCATTTCTCAGTAAGGACAAAATAATATTAATAAGGACGACATAATATCAAAGATTTTAGTATAAAGTGTAGTAAATTATATTAGACAATGTATGAATGAATTCTATTACAAAGAGTATCGCTATTTATAATGACTTGTAAATCTAATAAAGGTAATTATTGAAGAGTCCTCGTTATTTTGGTAACGTTGACAATATTGATTGGCATGCATCTTCATCTTTTAGGAAATGTTGACTTAATTGATTGATATTTCCTTGATTCTCTCCTTCAATCATGGGACATAATTGTGCTTGTTGCCCAAGCATTCATTACGCTTATCAAATGGTCCGAGCTCTAGAGGGAAGTTGTCTTTCTCAGAAAGGCAGTCGACTTACTCAGTAGGTGCAGTTAAATCCGTAATGTCCGTACTCAGTTGGGACCATTGCACGAATAATATTTCATCAATCAAGTGATTCATTTCCTGATTTAGCTTTATTTGATTGATTTTATAGTCTTGATTGATTTCATAAGATCTTTAAATGGTTGTTGACTTCTTGATTGGATCAATCAAATCCTTGATTGATGAGTTATGATTTTATTGATATCTTTGACCATGCATATTTTCCTTTTTTAGCTTGTTTTCTTATTATGCATAAATGAAGTCAAATATTGTATTTTATAATTGATCCTTTGATTGATCTTTTCCTAATTTGTAGGTTGCTAGAATCCACTCCCAACACTATCTAGGCAAGAGATCTCATAATTTTAGTTTTAAAATAGGCCCAAAAGGTGTATAAAAATTAATCCCCTAATCTCTAGATTGGACAACACTTTTAAGAATGTTTCTTAAGATTTTGTTTTTAGAGTATTAATCAAGAATTCAAGGGCATACATCTTACTATAATTGTAATCACCCTAAGACCTATACAAGATAGCAAAAAAGGCCCATTGGCCATTGGTCATTGTCCCTTATGTCATTAACGTCAATTTTCATATTGTGCACCTACTAGGCTAGGAACACTTAATTTGGTGCTCCATCATCAGCGAAAATTTAAGACACTTGCTCACATAAAAGCGGCATATGACTCTTACACTCTTGAGCGTGTCTAACACGTACTGTAAGAAAAATCAAATTATATACTTCCATGCGCATCTAATAATTTACGTATTATAGAATAATACTGAATATTCATGACTAAAAAAGTTAATCTCCAAGTATTACAATCAAGGTTAGATAAAATAATGATCTCCTCTCCCATATATATATAGCCTTGTATAGTTGTATGTAGGTATTAATTTTTATCATGAAACTCGTCACCCTTTTAAATTGAAGTTTGCTTAACAATCTAAACAAGAGATTTATCATAGTATAAAATGAATAAAAACATGGATATAAATTTATTTGCATTGCTACAATCAAAACCCCTAATGATAATAAAACTTATTCATATACACCATATATATCATTGTTCTTAACACTACAACAATTTTAATCCTCAAATTAGAACTCAAAATCGTCCTGATTTGGCTTCGGAGATGTCAAAAGAGCAGTATAAAGCCTCAACCGGTCTTCCCCAAGCGAAGAACTCCGCGACAATGGCCTTCTAGGCCTAATAAAAGACAACGAAGTAAGTGTCAACCGATGCTTATACCTTCTCCAAGCCAACTGAATCGCGACAGCAGCCCAAGTCCTCCAACCAGGGGAGTAATACCTTGCACTCCTCTTAACCTTTTCGTTCACAAATGTGTAACGAAAATGTTGTGTTACGTACTTAACATCTTCGGCTTCTAGCCCAAATGCTTCTGTTGTTTCAAGGGTGACTAAAGTCGATGATGAAGGTGGTAATCGTTCGATAAATGGCCTTCTTAGGCACCATGACAATAGTTCATCTCCGCTGAAGTTACCAGGGCCTAACATACAACAACTTTTTACCCCGTCTCTAAGAAATTGGCTGCTTTGAAGATGACCTCGGACTATAAATAACATTCTTCGAACTGGATCACCTTCTTTGGTTATCTTAAAAAGGAAAGAAAAATAAAATCAAATTTGAAGTTCAATTTTCATAGGGAGGGGATCATTTGTTTTGCCAATATACCATAATTTGGGCCTTCATACTCTTATTACTATGTTCTTGAGAATTTAAATATGCAAAAATGATGCAACGAACTATGTCATTAATAATGAGACGTTAGGATACTGTAACAAATATTTTCGAAAGTAATGAGCAAATAGTGCTATGAGAGAAGTACACTTAACCTCTATCTCTTAAATTCGTAGCATTTGCTGTAGTAAAGGTTGTAGTAAAGGTTTCTACTCTAGTTATTGTACATATCAAACCTATGGTGCAATATTGTGCAATTTATTTGCAATAATAATTTTGAAACTACTAGTAAAAAACCTTCATGCATTTTTTTTCTTTGCACATGAAACAAAATATTGTAATCGCAAAATGAATGAATATTTACTTACCGTTTCTCCCTTAGTGAATACAAGGGACTTGACACGGTCACATATATTCTCTAAAACTAGGTTGTCCATATGCTGAAATAACGGCACCTACATAAGGAGTATGGAGTATAAGTCAAATTAAACAAGTCTTGAATTAAAAAGTGGACAGGGATTCAGAATTTGAGTTAAAGCTGATATAAATTACCTCGTCTCAACATTGATAGCCCAACATAAATTGAATTCAAGATTATTATAGACAGTTTATGTAAAAGAACATGACATGATAATAAAGTTCTCTATAGTACATAGTTGAGAAAATGTGTGTTTATTTAAAGAAGTTACCTGTTTAACTAAATCGAGACAAAGATGGTACTTAATGTCCCTCCTAAGGCCTTCAGGAAGGTTTCGGATCATCTCACATTCATCAACCCCTCGCATGGCAGCCCAACGTTGCCATTCATAGTTACGGACTCTTTGCTTCAATTTATTAGGCAATTTCCTCTTTTTCATCCACCATTCTATGTTTCTCATTCGAAGCTGCATTGCTTGCTTCTTTGATGTTGTTGCATGCAAGAACACCTACATTTTATTTAACAATAAACAATAACAAATTAATTATTGGGATAAATTATATTTATAATTGGCTCCACATCATTTATGAATTATTGAAAATTTTTTTATCTCATTTGTTCCATATAAAATAATTTATATATTTAGACTTTATTCACTATTCATGTATTAACTTTGACGACTATGGTTGTTTATCATGTAATTGCTAAATAGATATTGATATGATGTTTAATAATATCAATTTTTTTTACAAATGTTTATTTACTTATCTTTAGAGGCAAACTAGTGTATTGGCAAGTGTGTCAAACTTGAATGTGTCAATTATTATGGAACGGAGGTACTATAGTGTATAAATACCAATTATAAAAGTATATAATATTGAGCTTATGACTTGCTTTATTCATCATCTCCAAGTACTTAAAAAAACTTTTTTTTTCATTATTTTCATTAAGAATGTGTTCTATTACCTAAATTTCATTATGCAAACTATTTCTAATAAATTTGTGTTGTTTACGCTTTTCTAAATCAATACTTTCCTCTTTAGGACTAGCAAATGACTTCTTATATCAGGTGAACTGAATCTAATTAGAAAAATAGAATTCTCTAAGGTTACTTCATACTTATAATAATTACCAATAGAGTTTCAAATGATTTCTACTTAAATAATTTACATATACTTCAAATATTGTAATCAATTGCTAAAAAGAAAAGTTGAGTAAGGCCTTGTTTAGTACAACTTATTTTTACTTATTTCAGAAAAAATAAGTTCAGATCAGATCAGATCAGAAAAAATAAGTTCAGATCGTATCATCGTTTTATGTGCAGTTTTTTATCGTTAAATATCTTTAATTTCGTAATGAAAAAATTATGAAAATTACATATTAATAAAATTCACATTATTACGAATCTAACAAAATCCCACTTGATATATTTTTTCCTTACAGATTATCGTACACTTAAGGTTAAAGTTTGGTCGAATCAGATAATAAGATCAGACCAGATCAGATCAGATCATATTAGAACAGATCAGATAAGATCAGATCAGACCAGACCAGATCAGATAAATTCAAATAAGCAAAAATAAGGTGAGCTAAACAAGGGCTAAGATAATCTATACATGCATTTAACAACAACTTTTATCTTTTTCTTGTTGGTAAGTAACCACTTTTATCTTACTTTCAAGAAGTAAATCATATGAAGTGAAATTGACTGACCTTGATATTACCAATTAACATGGTGACTAGAAGCAAGCCAGTAGTTAAGACAATGATTACAAAGAGAGATTCTAGCCATTCTGCTGTGCTTTCTAAATTTCCAAATGTGCTGCATAAAACAATAACAAAATGACAAAATTAAACATATATTATAAAATCATTCATGGCAGTCCATTCAGTCATATTATGATCAAAACATTTTTTTTAAATATGGTCCTACTATTACATGTAGCACGTTTTTTGAAGAGCATATAAAATTTCAGCACATAAGAATTTATTCAATTATTACAAAAAACATTTTGGCTTAAGGAAATTTCAAATTCAAATCTTTTTTCATGGACCCAAATATTACCAATTGTTTTGTTGATTTTAGGCAATATTTAAATTTGTTGCTATAAATGGCTTCATGAAAATTCTGACATAAACAGTTCATGGACAAACTAAGTGGATTAATTGTCAAAAGATTAGTACTTTGAAAGAAATTGAATTTTGTTAGTACATACTTTGAAAGAAATTGAATTTTGTAATTTATTCCACTAGAGAGTAGCTCACTTCTCGAGAAAAACCTAGTTCGCATATCCTAATTATTGTAACCATTTTGGAATTATTAGGAGAGTGTTTCTCGGTCCAAATTAAAATCAGATCGACTAAAATAATTAAAATCAAATCCAAATTCAGTTTTGTGAATAATCAAGGACCGAGTTGGTTTCTAAGTAGTTCAGTTCTAGTATGATCAAAATATGCATGAAATTTCTTAATTTGAGGCGTCACCATAGGATTGTATAATAACATGAAGATTATCCATAGCATGACAGAAAATATGGACTACCATAACTATATGAGATGAGATGGTATTCGCATTTATTTAAAATACTATCACATATTCCATAACTACTTTGGTATTGGAGTGTTTAAGAGTACGTGTACTCATGTCTAACTAATTAAATTAGTGACATAATACTGTTTTTATATTTATGTTAGTAGTTTATTATTAGACTTTAATAATTCATGTCTAGCACATATTATCACACATTACTTAGAGGCATGCATAAAATGTTTTTGTTTGAATGTAGTTTAGACGTCAAATCACTACCTTTAATCTCATCACAATAATTTGCAACATTACATTAACAACAAGCTAACACTCAAATTTAGTGAATTATTTCACAATGTCATAAATTAAAGATTTCAAGCTAAGCATACAATATAAAAATAATTGCATAAATAATAATCAAAGAAGATGAAGAACAACAGTTACCTCATAGTCATAAGCCCCCAAAAAATAGGCATAAGTATCTTTTCGAAGCGATTATTATTGCTAACAAGATAAATAACCCATTTGTAAGCTCCATATTCATAGTTATTGTAACTTTCCAAGCAATTAGACCTTGCTGTTCTATTGGAAGCCCAAAAATTACGGCCGTGATCTTTGATCAAGGCTTTATAACCATAGTAGATAGGCTCTTGGGAAGCTAGCATTTTCGCGCTACACCCGTGCATTTTACTACATTCGTCCTTTAAACACTCGGTTACCCTTTGGAACCCTAGCAAGTACCAACATGCTCCTGCTGCCTGAAATATGGTAAAGTAAATCAAACATTATTAGTCTCCTTTTGTCTTGATTGTAAACCTCAACTAGGGATTGCATGCTTAACACAACTTGAAACAACATCTAGCTAGCCCGATCTATTCGAAATCAATGCAAGTTTGGTTCATAATTTAGCCAAGCTTGAATTATGACCTCCAACTTAGAAAATACAATGAAGTTAAAATGATACCCTATTTTTGGTGTTAAGAGAGCCACATGAGCGAGTGATGAGAATCGATCCCAGGATCACCTGTAACCAGGAGGAGAACTCTAACCAATTGAGTTATCCCTCACTCTCAAAATGAAACTTTTTTGTTAAGTCATCATGCAATTCTTTCACTAGTTACTAAGGTCTTGAATTAAAGACAAGTTTTTTTTAGCTAGGAGACGAATATATATAAAAAGTATAGAACTTTAACATAAAGTCATAAAACTTCAATTGCATGATCGAAATTTAACTTGGTGAAATCCGTATAATTTAACACTATTTATACCTCGCACACTTTTGGTACGTGCATTACTTTTGAATCAATTTCATAGTATTTATCTAATTAATGCAAAGTTACAAGTTGAATATTTCTTCGACATGTAACGTGGATTTTCTGTATTTCTTCTAGGCAATCATGTACTGTTTTTCTTTATTTTTACACAATTCTAAATTTGATAAACTATACGGTACGTACTATATATGTCTATGATCACTTGCTCGAATTTGAACCGTTGTTAACTATGGTATGTAACTTGTTCATTCAAAAGCTGAATTATTCTAGACAAAGACTGACTTGAACACAAAGTACGTACATAAAAAGGAATGGTTTTAAATAGCATTGCTTTTATTGAGGAAGCTTACTAATGGAGGAAAATAAAACTTACATGTGACGCGACGAAATAGACAATCATGTTAAGGGCAAATCCCCACCAGATTGTACCGAAAACATAGCCTGAGAATTTTTGCATTCGACGAAGGAGGCAAACTGAGTGATAGATCTTTGGAAGGTACTGGAATAGGAACATGATCAACAATACTGTAATTACTGCATTTGTTGATCCTCTTCTTACCAAAAATGGGATTACTACCCATAATACAATCTACAAAGGCAAGAAACAATAATTAAGTGACACGCTAAGACTTTATGTGAAAACCCGAGAACCAAGAGAAAAAACCATACAATTGCTCTAGGAATTTTAATGATATGTTTGATGTGATGATGAACTTTAACCTCTTCTCAAAAATCTTACTTGCAGCCTAATTTAGAGCCTACTAGAATCTAACTTTTTTGAATTCAAGCTAAGTTAGGCCATGATTGGGAGGAAATCTCTCCTAGCATATGTTGCGTTCGCTAAAACTTAAGACCTCGAATTAAGTTGGAACAATTGCTAGTTGATCGGAGCATTTGTTGATTACATACGCAACTTACACCGATGGATATTGGATAACCTAAATGGAAGGTCCTTTCAAATGCTTTCCTCAAGAGTTATGGCTCAAAATCTACAAATTTTATCATTGACCTTTGTGATTTGTAACAGTTGTAATACAAAAAATACATTTAATGCGTAAATGAGTAGGGACAAATTTTAAATTTTACTTCGTATGTTTTAGCTTGTTATATCAACAATTGGTTTTTTCGCCTGTTTTTTGTACAATAATTCTGTGAATTTGTACTTGGACTGATAGAATGATTTTACAAGAACTGAAATGGAGAATTGAAAAAGGTGGAGACAAACATATAAATTCCATCATTAAGAGAAATTATTGATGACTTTTTTTCTCTGTCTTCCGCTTCATCTTAACACTACCTAGTTGTCTTTTTTGTGGAAATTGCGTGCTACACGTTGTCAAAGCAAGTAAAGAAAAGGGTCGAAATATTATTAGTCGACATTTATGTTAGCAAAAGAAGAGGTGTCAATTCGGATACGTACCTGGTTGGGTTCAGTGAGGTCGGATCGGGTTGGGTCTATTTCAAAATTGGATCATATTATATTATTATACAAGTCAAAATCTGAATCCGCTATTTGTTAGGTTAGATCGGATTAGGTTGGTCAAGTAAGTTTTTAACATCTCTGAGCAAAACCCTAATATTCTCTTCACTAGTTTATTTTCAGTTGCTTTTAATTAATTAATTAATTAAGTGACCTGAGAAATTGGCCATGACTATAATTTTATTATTTTATATGAGAAAAACATAATCATGTAATATATTGTTATAATGCTATGTAGTTTCAAAATATTAGTTTTCCCTGATTCTTCTTGCTACATAATTAAAGATAATGTTGCTAAGGCATTTCTAAGGCATTTCCAATACATTAAATACATATTGATTGAATTTCGAAATTCTATTATGTTAGATAATTATTTCCGGATGTAGTTTGTAATAAAGGAAAATGAACTAATAGAGTAAATTTAAGGATAATCTAATTTTGAAGTTAATATGAATTGAAGGTATATGCAGGCCAAAATGTTATTTGAAAATATGTTCAAATTTTTAGTTCTAGTGGAACTTTCAAAATTTTGCATTATTGTATGAAATAAAATTTGATGGAGAAAGTAATACGGAGTATAGACTAACTTTAGTTGCTTTGGTTGTTATATATATTTCAATTCATAAATATATATATTAATATGTAGCTCTTGAATATTGCTGTAAAAACTTAAAACATTATTTTATGATGTGAAACTTATACATTATATTATACTGGTAGTATTAAACTTAAGTTTTCTAATAAGTACCCATAAACACTTATTAACCTTCATTTCAATTCTAAGCACTCGTAAATTCGTAAATAACCCAAAAGAAAAATCACTTTTTATTAACCATTATTTCAATAATTGGCACTCATACTCAACCCAAAGGAAAAACAATTTCAATTCTTGACTTTTAAAATGTTTAAGTATGTAAAGATACTTTACATATTTATCACATTAACTTCTTAAGAAAAGATACAAGTTAATTCAACAAGTATCCATAATAAGCACTCGTTAGAAAAATCGTATATGTATGTTATTCCAACAATACTTGAGATTGAGAATTTCTGGGGTTTATATCTTGAAGAAAGTAAAAGACATGAATCATTCACGTGTATACTAACTAGTTTGCAACAGTTTATGAGGTCCTATAATCTGCATGCATAAAACAACTCCAACATGCAAGTGTCGTCTCGTACTGAATTACTGTGCTAACTTACAAACCTCTCATACCCGGCGTTTCCCCCCAAAAAGCCTTCTTCTCTGAGTACCCAAATTCAAACTCATTCATTTTTTTGTTATACAAACAAATTAGGCATTCAATTTTATTGTCTTATTTCGAAAATCAATTATATTTTTTTTTTTCAAATTGGATCTCCCATTTACTCTTGAAATTAGTTGCATTCAATTATTCATAATGGATTTCAAATTATTGTTAGTGTTGTATATTCATATTGTACCTTTGGTTTATACTTACGACACATGAAATATCTGATCGAATTTGCAACATAGAATACTAAGTCAGTCCTGTAGTTTTCTTAGGAATTATTGGAAGTTACGAACGGAGTACAAATTATGTGTTTTCTTCTATGTCTTGTCTTCTCAAACAACCACTCATAAAATTTGAATATCTAAATTAATTTATGTCTTAAAAAATTAAGGGTTTGATTAAAAATAATGAAATGAATCATGTTGTATTAACTAGACTACCTTATCAAAAATGACTAATATTGTTTTAAGGTAAACGACCTATTAAACCATCCCAACAAAAAATGTTAAATGAAATTTTTTATACAAATCAATTCTTCGAAACCCAAATTAAAAAAAAGGATATTTTGAGCATGTTGTATTAAAAAATTATGTTTAACTTAACATTTGACACATTTTAATCATTATAATCGAATTAGCTCGCTATTATTAAAGCTAATTTAAATACACATGTTTATTTCATTTGCCTTACTTTTTTAATGAATACTAATTAATTAAGAAGATTAAGGTAGATATTATGACTTACATACCTGAGGTAAAGGGAGGATCACATACAAATCAAAGAAGAATCCATATTTAGCTTTAAAATATCCAATAGCCACCCTACGAGCAAAACTCATGTCACCATTCCCTCCCCTATAAGGCGGGTGCTTGGCCATCTTTAGTTGAAGCCACATGTTCCATACGTGCATCACATCGGTCATGCACCTCAACACGGTGACCATGATCGCGAACCACCCATCAACGAAGAGGCAAAGGTAGGCCTCACTAATCGAGAGTGCATAGAAGAATAGAGGGTCCACGAAAAGGCCAGTGACACAGACGAGAAGGAATATTCTATTCCACTCTTGCACCCATGTTGCCCTTGGGTCTAAAACTGACCCAAGGGCAAATAAATTTCCATGTCCTTGTCCTCGTCCGTGCCCTTTCCCTCCACATAAATTGTAAATGATTTTCCCAAAATTGCTCGAAGTTGTTACTTCTTCACCACCATCTTGAAGAAAATTAATATCTCCGAATTCAGTATCATCATCCTCCTCCTCCTCCAATTCATCTTCCTCCGAAGTATCATCACTCCTAGCCTCATGCAACCGCGAGACTAAGAGAATTTCTTGAGAACTCGTCATTCTATACAATACACGCACGCACGCATACACACATGCAAACTTCTCTTCTAGGGTTTGCTTGGTTAGTTTTGAATAATAATCCCTTTTGAATGGATGAAGAGAAAAAAGTAGGACTATTGAATTTGAGAATAATGAAAGGTACTGAGCCTTAGAAATGAGCATAATCATTTATTGCAATTCCAAGAGCCGTACCTTAAGAGGAAGATTTTGATTTTTATTTGATTATATGAGCGATGAAATTACCATTTTGCCCTCAATGTTTGTGATCCACTCACTTGGCTGTGATGTATGCATGTGTCACAAGCTTGTTACTCAAAAAATGTACATATAGTAATAATAATTATGATAGGTAGAGAGAAAGTGAAGAGGAAGAAAGAATCACCTAAATAAAACTGTTTTTAACTTTTTGCATTAAAAGGACAAAATTGGGCAGAGCTAAAAAAAGTGTTCAAACGTTAAATAGAAACCGTTTCTTAAAACAATCTGTTGTTCTCTTTTCTTTTTTCAGTTTCATTAATGAAGTCAAATGTTGTCAACTTCATAACAATTTACGTAGTATGTTGTTGGAGAAACTGACAGTTTTGTTCCCAATGGTAATCAACTTAAAGATCAAGATTTAGTAGATTTTCCAATACTATATTTATAAGTTGGTGCGATGTATAGGTATTTATACCCTTCGTACAGAGTAATGCTTCTCCATGAAATTAAAGATATTGTTGATCGTCATATGAAATGAAAAGAAAAAATCTTAGTAAATTGAAAGCTATGATGTGGAACGTTTTAAATTTAATTTATAAAAAATAACATATTTTTTAATAATGTACATATAGGTTTAGTTGAATTGGCCTATCACAAGGATATCATCCCATATCCCAATCCTGATTGGCCTAAACTTATATAAAGGACTAAGGTCGATATTATTATAAATTATACGACATATATTCTCCTATATATATACATACGAGAACTGACTCCTACTCAGGTTGAGTTAGTATGTCCTATAATATTTCTCATTAATATTATGCTGTCGTTCTTGATTAAAACACAATATGATGGCAAATAGATAAATAAACATAATAATGTCTTTATATTAAGTATAGTATTAAAGAAAAATGTCCCATTAACATGTAATGTAACACCCATTGGGCATAAATTATAAATAATGTTTCATAAACAACATTAAAAATATGTTACTCCACTAGCTTAGTTATAGTTGATCCTAATTACCACTAGAAGTACGTTTCCATGCATGTACAAATATTATGGACTAGAAGATGAAGAAAAGATGGCGTGAAGAGCACATGTATGTTCTCCAATGCTGGCTGAGATTGAAGATTGGACCCACCATATTACATACTACAATTCCATGATCTTAATTCTTATATCAAAATCTCTCAAGTTAGGCATAAAGTTGGAAAACAAGACAATTGAGGAAGGTGCAATATAGTTCTGGCATTATCTTCGATCTCTCTTTTGATTCATTCATAACGAAGGAGGAAATATAAATGATTTTCACAACTTACTTATATTATCATGACATCATTGAAAATAATTCAACAATGACATTTACTTATGAACCTAAACATTGATTATTTAAGGATTTTTTAAAATAATTTTTTTTTTTAACTACAAATTGGCAAATAGAAATGTAATCTCATCAATATAGCTTCATCCATGTTGAAAAATAGTTTTCATTGATAATACTTTGTGATCTCATGGCTCAATAGTCCATACTACTAACTTATTTGGTAGGCATAAATTAATGGTATGTGGAGGTTATGATACAAATTACTAGTTGCTTCCGTTTCCAAAAATTCGACTCATATACTATTCCCGTGTGTGGTCAAAATAAAACAAAATTTGACCATATTTTATGATTTATACAAAAAAAATAAACTAGCATGTGAAATCTTATTAAATTCGTTTTGGCGTAAATTTTTCAAGTATTAAGTTTGTATAATTTTCAATTATATAAAGCCAAACATATCAATGGTAAAATTTGCACATTAAAGACCGCGCAAATACAGAATGAGTTGAGATTTCAGGAACTAACGAAAATAGTAAAAATCTTGTAGACAAAGTAATTTTAAATAGATGGAAAAATAAATTATTACAAACTTTAATTTGTATAATAGATGATCTAAGTCTATACCCTAATTGTTTCTCAAGTGTTTTGTTATATGTTCATAAGATTAATTTATTCATGATACTATGGTATCGATCTAGTTTAAGGTTTTTTGGTAGAAAAATAATAATATTGTATGTTTGAGAATGAATTTTCTATTAATGAGAATGATATATTGTGATAAGATCAGGAACCACAGCTTGACGGGAAAGACGAAAGATTGGCTTAATCCCTTAAAGCACTTTGTAAGATTAAGAGATTTGATACCTCACAAGAAATAGTCGCAGTCTTTAGTAATTTTCTACATGAGCACTTTTTATAGAATAACGAGACTGTGAATATAATAGGGCTCAAATACAGAATCAATATTCAAGGATTTTTCCGAACCCATTTAATATTTTTTATGCGATTAAATAATATTTGAATCTTGCATGCAATATTATACATTGTATTTTTTAATTACCCACTCTAATCCAATTAAGTTCAAATGACCAAAATATGATGTCCCTAATGTGATCAATCAACTCTATAACACTACCTCAAAACCCTAAATCGATTTATTTAAAGAAAACCAAAATAATAATAATAATAAAATTTCTTATAAACCACGTATAATTAGTTAAATATAATATTTGTAATTTTGTACTGTTTACCTATCTTCCTTTTTATGAAATTATAATTTTTTACTAAATATTACTACAACAACATCACATAATATAAATTATGTAAGATACGAAAGTTATTAGGAATGATTTTATAGGCAATTTTCTTAAATTGAAGATAATTTATCTCAAATTGAAATGAAATATTATCTTTTTTTTTATGGTATATATATATGCATGGTCTTACAGGCGAAGTAAAAAATTTGAGATAGGTTAATACTAAACAAATATGAAAAGAGAAATAAGAAATTAAAATTGCTGATTAAATAATGGACAAAAGTAAATGAAAACTCTTTTTAAAAAAATTTTGAGAAGTGTGGTGTTAAATTATATGTAAGCCTAAAAGTACGGACATATATAACACTTTGATTGATAGTCTTAGAATAAGGTTTGGTCCAAAGTGTTGCCACTTTGAGCAAATCATATTACTAATATATATATAGTTAAACTTTTAGCCAAGTCATGAGATAACGACACTTGGTGTTGCAACTTTTCGTCAAATGTCGCGGCAACAAATAGATATTATTGTGATTAATTAGAATAAATGACACATTAGATTAGATTGGATAGGTTTATTTAGGATAAAAAAATGTATACATAAATAATTTATAATTCTTTTGAAAAAATTATCTTTTTATTGACAATATAATTTTACTTATAGCAACATACCACATATTATAATTAATATAAATATCCAATTAACAATATTATTTTACGCATATACAAATGATCACGTAATTATAATTTTAAATATGGTCATGTATCATTATTTTTTTTTTAGTCTACCATTGATTTACCATCAAACTATTGAATCAGGTATTCTTCATATTCTGTAGTAATATTTTTGTGTATTTTTGTGATTTTGTTAATGAAATTAAAGAAGTCAAAAACTACTAAAATGAGGATACAACAAAAATTGTACAATAAAAGGGATTAGTATCTATCGCCCGGACACAAAATTAGTTATAATATAAAGTATGTATTTTATGATTCTTATCTTCGATTCAATATTGAACCGTTAATATATATATAGTAGAGTAGAATTATGTGCATATCCCTTTTTAAAAAATAACTTTAAAAGCTAATTATTGGGAAAATGAGTGGGATGTAAACTTTGGTTGTGTGGGTCGAGCCTCCATCAATCCGCATGTTGCTTTGCCTTTTTGGCTTAGTGCCAGGGCGCTGGCTATCCAAGATTATCAGCCGAACTCATGACCTCCCCTCCAACTCCCTTAACTGAACCAAAACTTTATCAATGGTTTATCCTGTCAAAGATTATACAATAATACAAGGTTCAAAACAACACAGGTTCTTTGCAACTTCGTGTCTTTGTTTTTAGGTTCATCAAATTACAAGTACATAGTACGTAGTAGTATTTCTTACACTTGCTATACTTTACTTCTCAATGATACATGAGATTTGAATAGCCGTTATATGTTATTTTTAGTACCCAACAAAATTCCTTTCTCTTGTAAACATTGTCCTTTTCCCTATTTTCTATCACTTAGCTTGGAATGTACTTAGACTACGCCAAATATATCGTCTTCAAACGAAGTTTCGTCACTTAGTATTATTGGCATGTCACATCATGCATGATATGCTAGAGATAGGTGTAAGAGTATCATGAAGATAACCCCCGTCAGTTTAGATTATTACTTATAAGGATAACATATACAATAGTATCGAAATTCAATTCCCTCCGTCTATATTTTATTGTTCAGTCATTATAAAATGTCTTTTATTGTTGAAGTATATCCCACCAAATAACACATGTAAGAGTTCCACATTGATAAAAGAAGAGAGAATTAAACACTTTATAAGGCTACGGGGTTACTCTATGGTTTTGGGATGAAACTTCTTTTGATCTTGTGAAGTGAACTTTCTCCCTTAATTTACGGGTGCGGCCCAAACCCGAATTTAACATTTATTAAGGCTTAAACAAAGGGTAAATTGTAGAGACATGCTACTATATACTCATAAGAAAAAGAAATATATATATATATATATATGAAGCAAACAAATAGGACTGATTTTCTCGGGTCCACATTCTTTGGAGTTGATCAATCAAATGCCGCCATGTGTACTTGCTTAACTATAAAACTCGTGCATCACTATGATATGGCACAGATGTATAAACATAGGCGGACCTACGTTGGAGCAAGGGGTAGCACGTGCTACCCCTCAAAAAAGAAAAAAAAAAAAAAAAAAAAACTAAAAATGCTACAGAAATATTTTGATAGAAATAGGACACCTTGAATAATCATTAAACGCAATCAGCGTTGCTCTAGTGGTGCAATGAGTGTGACATTGATTTTTTCAATTGATTGCTCTTAGCAACTCATTTAGTGTTTTTTTTTTATTAAAGAACGGTTTTTTTTTTTTTTTTTTTTTGTATTCATTTTTACACTTTTACTAA